ACCGTCCAGGGTTCCGTGCTTTGGATTCCCCTGCCCACACGCACTGCCCGTGTGTGTCTGCCTGTATCGCCCTCCCTGTGAGCTCGAGGTCACTTGGAATGCCAAGGAAGCCAGCGGCGCTGGTCCAGCCTGGCTGATAAGCTGAGTGAACGGAAGTGTGCTCAGTCCACCAGCAGGGCCCCCGTCGGCTGGAGCGGACGGTGCCCAGAGCCTGGAGCTGAGAGCAGGGGCGTCTGGACACGGCGGGGGGCTGGCACCTCCTCGTGCCCCCTTGCCACTCCTGCCGTGAAGCCCGGCAATTTGGGGGGCATGGAAGCCCCTCGGCGCGGTGCATCCGGCCGTGGCCAGGCAGCCTGCGGATGAGCAGGGGCACCCAGAGGGCCGGGCACGACCCACGGCCAGGGAAGACCTGGCATGCAGGCACCCCCTCGGGAAGGGGTGCTATGCTCCCGGGCATGCCTTGCCCATCTCCTCCGCCAAGCCAGGCTTCCGGCTGAGCTGGACGGGGAGACTTTGCCCGCACGGGCAGCTGGACGTCCCCGGCCCACGGTGTTCCGCCTAATTCCTCCTCGTGTTGCTTCTTCAGGATGAGGAAATGAAGAGGATCTTCATGCGGGCAATTGTAATGATTGCCAGAGCAATTGTGCGCACCAGGAGGGAAGACGCCGAATTCCCACGAAAATCCGAAACTGTGGTGTGCATTTCTGTAAGTGAACCTAACAAGGACCACCCCCCCCGGCCCCACATAATCTCCCGCAGCCCCCTGACTTGCGAGCTCCGCAAAGACCTGCCAGGTGCAGGTGATGCATGTCAGATCATGGCGGAATCGGCAGCCATGTACACATTGAAACACTGAAATAGCAGCTTCGCCTCCATGGCATCTCCTTGCCGCGCGGGAGTCCACCGAGGTCCCCAGGGGTGGCGCTTCCTGCAGGAGGCGATGTGCTCAGCGCCAGTTTGTAAAAAGCCTGCTGGGCTGAGGAGAAGGATGGTGCCCTGGGCGGGCTGGGGCCTGGCTTCTGACCCGCTGCCCCACTGTGTCTCCCCACGGCAGGGCATCATTGAAGAAGAGCCGCTGGGGTCCTTGTCCATCAATCACCTCCACCAGGCCTTGGTCACCATCAGCAGCATGACGTACGTTCCGGGGCTGCCCTCGCCCTCTGCCTCCTTGCCCTTCCTTGCCAGGATCTTTCCTGCTTGCGCCACTCTGTGGGCGCCATGAGGCGTCAAAGCTCCCGCCTTCGCTGCCATGGAGAGGGGAAGTGCCGGGTGCTGACGGACGCAGGAGCAGAGCCTTGGTCCCGCCAGGTGGGACGGGGCGAATCGGGGCAGTCCGAGTCTTCAGCTGGAAGATGAGCAGCCCCTGGACTGGGAGGAAC